CGGACGAAACGGTATACGGAGTTGTCAATAATAATATCGCGCGGTTCGTTAACCGAGACGTCCGACGGACAAGTCCGGGGCAGTTGTCACGCGAGAAACGATACGTGTTGCGTTCGCGGTTTTGCCGCGCGCACGTATCAGCGCGCCCGCGGCCGGTCTGTTGGCGAGTGCGCCTCGTGAGAGAGCGGTCGGTTGGTGCGCGGACGGCCGACAACGATTTGTCGCCCGCGCCGACGGACACCTGATTGGGTCGCGCTAACTCGTGCGCGTTCCGATCTTCGACGCGGCGGGAACGGAGAACCCCGACAACACAGCTACCGGCGCGAAGTTCGACGAACTTTTGTCTCGCACCGTTGCGTTACGGTTTACGAACCCCTCGCAGGCGGGGCTCGCACACCGAACGGTCCGCGGTGACGTGGCCGAGGTAAAACGTTTAGCGGTTCCGACGTTAAATCGCGCGTCGGAAAAAAATAAATAAAAACCGAAGCGCACGCGGTCAGTCGTGTACGTACGGGCAGCACTTGGAGCATTCCGAACGTCTTTTCCAAATATGGCGCCGTCCGGCGCAACGGCATATTTCTTCTATAATCGGTAAGAGCGTTACTCATCCGCCGAACGGACGACCGCGTAACAACCGCCGACGGTGTAACGGCACCGCGTACACTAACCGTATACGGGTACCGGGTACGCGCGCCCGACCGAACCATATGGTGCGCCATCCGAGTTCGCTTCGCGTTCACGTCGCGCGTTTCGGAACCGTGACACGGGCACCCGTCGTCCAGTCGCCGCGAACAGATCACCGTCTCGTTACCGCGCGTGACGCGACACCCAAGTCGATTGGCGGCGTATCCGTGTCCCTCGTCTCGCGGGCACGAACAAATTTTCGGGTTTTCGTAAGCCGCGTTGAACACCGTTGTCGGTCGTACGCACAACTCAATACGCAGTTGCGCCGGCACGCGAATACAATATTAATTTTTTTTTTTTTTTTTTGTCTTCTTCGTCCGGGATGCGCGGGGCCGTTAAACTGATCCCGACGCCGACGACACGACGTGCCCGGCAAATCCGTGCGGAGCGCAAAACCGTTTGAATCACGTTTACGACCGTCGGACGCGTAAAACTCACGGGCGGGTCGACGGCGAGAAGATTACATTCGAACGCGTACCGTGCGACACGTGGTGTGACGACAGGTTTGAAATGGTCGTTTCAGCGCGGCGCGATCGCACGCGGACGGGATTCGCCCGCGTAACGACCGCGGTCCAATTCGTTTTTACTGCCACCGTGCGCGCACAGGTGTACGGCGAACACGTTTTTCCGTCGACCCGATTTTTACTACCGAAATTAACGGTACACAACGCGCGTGCTGATCGGGTCGGAAGGGCTGTCGACTGTTGACGAACGGCCCACGGGCCGCCATGCCAACGTAAGACGGATTCGCCGCGAGGGGAATATACCCCCGTTTTCGCCCGACTTGAAACGTTTTGGGATCGGGACCGACGAGAGCTCGAGAACGTTGCACGACGCACGGCCGTCGGCGCTTAAGTATCGTAAACCGTCGAGACGGTGCCCGTCGTCCGGAGGACGATCATGTTCGAACGCGCGTCGCCGTCCCGCAAAGTGAACTTGTCCGCCGAGAAAACAGGACCGCGACCGCCGATCGCACCGCAATACGGATTATCACAACGTTCGCGCACGTCAGCGGTGTAGGCGCACGCGCGTTTTCGACGTAAAAACGACGTGTAAATCGTAATAACAATTACAATACGTGTAGTGCCGTCGTAAACGCCACGCGTGCGGACAAGTGTACCCGCGCGACCGTATCACCGTCCTCGTACGCATCGCACCATCGCGGTACGCGCGCGGGATTTCCTCGAGTTCAATTAACACCAGCGCCGCGGCCCCGACGTGCGTACGTGAAAAAACGTAATTAATGCTTCGACGTGAACATTTTGGGTGGTCCGGGACTACGGTATTCCGATTGGTGAAACCAGATCGGACAAAGACATTAAAGACGTTGACGGTTTCTTGTGAATTCGACAAACCGTGCGGCTCTGCTACGTGCACACAATACGATTCGTAAATCCAATAGGACCGGGGTCGCGGCGAACAAAAAGAGTGAAAGAAAAAATATTTGAAAAAATAAAGAACGCGCGCGACGACGACGACGACGTATATTAGCAGGAACCAATCGGACGGGAATTCATCCCGTGTTAATTTTGCATGAACCGCCGGACCGGCAGACCCGTGCAGTTTAAGCCGACGAAGAAACGGATTAAGCGGTACTCGCGTGTTGCGCGGATGATATTTTTTTCCATATAAGTTTCTGTCTCGGACAGCCCATGAAGCGTAATACGTAGAAGAAGTTACGTAAATTTGCAC